ATAAGATAGAATCCCTTAAGAAAACAATAGACGACATTAAAGACAATTTTATGAAGAACGAAGAAGGTAAGAATGAGACATGGATGACGACAGAGATTCTGCAACTAATGGAAGAAAGAAGGAAAAACAAGAACTATAACTCCATGTATACAACATTACAGCGAGAGATACAGAGAAAGATCAGAGAAGCCAAACAGAAAGAGCTGGAGAAAAAATGCCAAGAAATCGAAATTCTCCAAAGTAAATACGACGAATTCAACGTGCATAAGAAGGTAAGAGAAATTACAGGTAAATGTAAAAACAGAAGAGTAAGTAAACTTGTTAATGACAATGGAGAGATAATCGTGGACAACGAGAGTATCAATGATACCTGGAAAAATTACATAAGAAATTTATTTTTTGATGAGAGAGAGAACCAGCCCCCAATACCTACGGAAACAGGACCACCTATACTAGTGGCAGAAATAAGAGCAGCCATAATATCACTAAAAGAAGGTAGAGCTCCAGGACCAGACGGAGTACAATCTGAATTTTCTTAAACTTCATGATGATGAATCTTTAAGAGTTTTTTTTTTGTGCGGAAAAAGTACGGAGAATATAGGCTAATAAGTCTAATGAGCCATACATTAAAACTTTTTCTTAAAATTATACATCGTAGAATATACAAGCTATGTGAAGAGAGAATACAAGACACACAGTTTGGATTCATGAAAGGCGTAGGTACAAGAGATGCACTGTTTAGTCTACAAGTATTATTTCAAAGATGCAGAGATATGACTTGCGATATTTACACCTGCTTTGTGGACTACCAAAAAGCATTTGATACAGTTCAACACCAAAAAATGATGGATATTCTAACAAAAGCCCAAATGGATGATAAAGATCGGCGTATAATACAAAATTTATACTGGAACCAATCAGCCACAATAAGAACGAATTTTGGAGGTGAACCAACGGAAATGATCCAGATTCTACGAGGCGTTAGACAAGGTTGTATACTTTCACCTATATTATTTAATCTATATTCAGAGGAAATATTTAGTGAAGCCTTGGAAAAATGCGAAAATGGAATACTTCTAAATGGAGAACGCCTAAACAACATCCGTTATGCAGACGACACCGTTATTTTTGCAGACAGTTTGAACAGTTTACAGCAACTAATAAACAAAGTAAATGAAGTAAGTGAAAGATTTGGACTTCAAGTAAATATAACAAAAACAGCAAAAATAAAGTTAGAGACGCTCAACTACTTATCAATAATACACCAGTGGACCGAGTATAAACAGTATAACTATCTTGGAACAACAGTAAATGAACAATGGGATCACTCACAGGAAATAAAATGTAGAATAGAGAAGGCTAGGAGTGCATTCAATAACATGGCCAAACTCTTTAAAATCCACAATCTTAATCTGGAGATAAAAGTAAGGCTCCTGCGATGTTATATCTTCTCAATATTGTATTAAGGAGTTGAATCCTGGACACTAACTGAAGCAATGGAGAAAAAACTTGAAGCTTTCGAGATGTGGCTATACAGGCGAATTCTAAGGATATCATGGACAGACAAGATAACCAACGAGACCGTATTACGAAGAGTGGGCAAAGAAAGAGAGGTGATGTATACCATTAAAAGGAGAAAGTTGGAATATCTCGGACATATAATGAGAAACAGCACTAAATACAGATTACTGAAGGTAATCCTACAGGGTAAAGTATTCGGAAAGCGAGGAATTGGGAAAAGGAGAATATCATGGTTGAAGAACCTGAGAAAATGGTTCTCCACAACAACAACGAATTTATTTAAAGCAGCAGTTAACAAAGTGATTATAGCCAGAATGATTGCCAATATTCGGAGCGAATAGGCACTGAAAGAAGAAGAAGACAAACTCTCCTGGAAATCATTAACAGAGAAAGCAAGAAGATGGGACTAACAATGAATATAAATAAAACCAAATACATGGTGATCTCAAAAAACCCTGTTGACAACATACAACTGACATTGAAGGGTAAACCCCTGGAGAGAGTCGGCAAATATAAATACCTTGGAGCAATTATAAACTCACAGTTAGATCAAGAGGTAGGAGATAAAGGTCAGAATAGAAATAGTTTATGTCAATGTTTACAAATAAGAAATTGAGTATGGCCATCAGATTAAGGTTCGTCGAATGTTATGTTTGGTCGCAACTACTATATGGGGTAGAAGCTTGGACTTTGAAAGCCCAATCTATAAAAAAATTGGAGGCATTCGAAATGTGGCTATATAGGCGTATTTTGAAGATTCCTTGGACTGCAAAAGTCTCAAATGAGGAAGTGTTAAGAGGAGTTGGACATGGCAGAAAGCTTATGAACACAATTAAAATAAGAAAAAAATCGTATTTGGGCCACATTCTCCGAAACGATAAATACTCTCTGCTACAAGTCATCATGCAAGCTAGAGTAGAGGGAAGAAAAGGCTTGGAAAGAGAGAAGAAATCTTGGCTGAGGAATATCAAAGATTGGACTAACCTCAGTGTTAAACAGATATTTCACGTTGCAAACGATCGAGAAGCGTTTAAAGAAGTGATCGTCAACCTTCGTTAGAAGACGGCACAAGAAGAAGAAGAAATAATATATAATCAATTTTAATTCTATACTTACTAATTCAATTCATATATTTACTAATATTTCATTTTATACATAAATTCTGAAAAGAACCGTTCATACTTTGCCTTTCGCCGCTGATTGTCCAGGCGCTTCTCCAACGACCACCAGTGGGCCACACAACGAAGACAGCGAATACACCAAAACAAAACAAACCACGTACTGAAGAGGCAGAAGGGTTATAACAGGACATCAAAACAACCAGACAACAAGAAGGCAACCAAAAAGTATACGAAAAGAACAATGGATTAAATACTGTTTGTGAAAGGTAGTAAACAAAGCGACGGGCAGCAAGAAAAGTCAACACGACCGGCATTCTCGTGCCGCTCTCGAAGAGAGGGAACGCGGCTACGCGAAATGAAAAGACCGGCATCTCTGTAGATTTTGAGATTTGAGACATACACCACGCAACAGACTTATAATACACATATTAAGTCATTGTAAGGTAACCGTCTGTAAGAGAGTTCGACTCTCAACTACCACAGGCTCATCGAAGCTTCTCACACGTTGATAAGTATTTGTAAACGCTCTTTCGGAGAGCGCTCAGGGAAGTGGGTAAAGGAATAATTATCAATAACTCAATATATTCTTCGATTGCTACTTTTGTATTTATTAAAGATTTTCTTTTTTAAATTAATTTAAAATCAATAGTTGAACAATAAAGTGAAAAGGTTAATTAACAAGTTCTTATTATAACCACTACAGTGGGGTTCTACTTACAGTGTCGTACTAAAAAAATTGAGAAATTTAGTGTAATGTTCGATTCTACCAAAATTAAGAATAAATTTCCACTTAGCTGTTAGAAAGTCTATCTTCTTGATTTCTGGAGACTCGATCCCAGGTGAGTACTTAATATTTATTATTATTTCCTTTAATAATTCGACGTTTTAGGTTCTTTCTCTCTTATGGACAATTGGATAACATCCGATCCTAACTAATATGGAAAACTGATAGCCAATCCCTTAAGGAGTCGCGAGATTATAAATAAGATAAATAAATTATAAAGTTGAAAAGATGATTAAAATGGTTTGAGATTAAATCACAGAGTAAAAATAAAAGGCCTAAAAAATGTTATTAAGTTTAAAACGTAAGTAGTTATTAATTTTTTTCCAAAAGAAAACCTACCTTTGTTCAAATGTGGCCTTAAAGTGTTTCTAATACGAAATTAGTTTATAAAATCGAGTTTCTTTTAGTTTTAGAAAACAAATCCATACGATAGGTGATAATTGCTTAGCTTCTCACTGCTACAACTATTAAATTTTCGGAAAACTATCAAGAAAACTCTAGAAAAGCCGCAAAATTGCGTTGTAAGTTCTACACGAACCAATACTGTTTCCATACAAAAGACCACCAAAGAAAGGAAAAGAAAAAAATTAAAGTTTTTTTATCTGGCGCCGGCCATTGTCCAGTAAGAATTTATTTAAAATAAGTTGTACTACTAATAGGATTGATATCTGTTTAAAAATACAAGAAGAAGAATTTTATTAAGCTATTTTTGACATTAACCTTTAAAATAAGAAATAGGCTTTTTGGTTTGTTTATTTTTAATTCAAAGTTTATTATTCATTTAAATTTATACTTATTTTTGTTTTAGGCTTTACAAAACAAGGAAAGAACAAATAGATCTTCTCAGAGACCAAATAAGACTTGGGAATGCATTAATTTTCCATGAAATCTTGTGGAGTTATTAACAATTATTTAGCCAAAATTAAAATAATAAAACTTTATTTCAATAATTTATTCTGAATTCTTTGGATCTGCAACAACGTAGAGGCCGGAATCCCAATTAAAACCTACGAGAACGAGGATGGACTCTCGAAACTTAAGATCTTCCTCAAGAGCGGCGGTCGCAGATCGTCCTGAGACGCCAGAGAACCTGGAGGACGCTACAACCGTTCGAGATCTAAGCCATATATATTCTTGGGTTTCAAAAAATATTTAGAAAAATCCAATGATTATTATCATCGGATCCGTAAACTCATTAAAATGAAATATTTTCTTTCAATAAATATATCACACATTTTGTTAACTTCCAATAGAAACACCTTAGAATTTCTAGTAAATTTTAATTAAAGAAGTAAAAATAGAGATTTAAAGCAGCACAACCCACAACTCTGTATTTATATTATAAGAAAAGTTCAGTATGCAGCTTTCTGTGGCAAATGGACTTGATTTCGTGCCATTATCTTTCCACACACACGCGCTATAAGAAGTATTCAGATTTTTTTGCACTCCCAGTGCCACGCTCTTTTTCTATTTTATTATGTAATAGATATTCATATTGCACGTACGTCCCTGGTTCCACAATTGAATAACTTCCTTTATAAAAACACTTTTAAATCATTATCACTTATCAGCTCGTGAAGTTTAAAGTATGCAGTACAAACAGCTTATTTCTTTACTATATTTTAGTTTAAATTCAGTTTTTGGATCAAATATTCTTTACGTTAGTAATATTCCGAGTCCAAGTCATCAAATATGGAATTACGAACTAGCGGAAGGACTGCTAAAAAAAGGACACAATATTACCATGTTGGCTCCATCACCAATAGAGAACAAATCTTACAAAAATTATCATCCGATCGATATAAAAGGTAAACTTAATAAAAATTCTTCTGACGTTACGAAATTTTGCTATGAGTAGGTATATATTATAATCATCCAGTTATAGATTATGATAATAGATATTATAATGATTATTCATTTTTTCTGGATTCTTTTGTATTTACATCCTAATCTGTTTCTACAACTACTTTTAAAATTAACAAATGGTTCATGAGAGTTTAAAATTTTTGATATTTTAAATACTGGACAAGTTTTTTTTTTTGTTTTGGATACTATTTTATTTAAAAATGGAACAACGTCAAAGAATTTGATATATTTTATTGTTATTAGTGTTACATCAGAAAAAAATATAAAAACGGTAGGTCAGTATTTTAATTGGATATTATTTTCTTAATACTCAAGATTTTCGTTAATTCTTGCCATAATTGTGATTCAAAACTTCGTCCTTGATTAAAATTTAATTCTAAAGTTCTAAAGTCTAAAAACTGCTACTGTAAATACTTTTTAATTAGGAAGGGGTGCAATTTTGGGTCATTTTTAAAAATAATCCATTTTAAGCAGTTTGCTTTTCTTGTCATCGAAAGTGGAATGAGAATATCAACTGCAAGTTTTAAAGGCTTTCCAGAAGTATATTGTACCATTTTATTACGACTTCTTGTTCTAGGGCCTTTTCTACCATAAACCGCATTAGTTACATTAGCTACACCAAAATCTGTATCGAACTCTGGCAATTATTGCAACACACTTTTTATGGAAATACAACTTGATGGACTGCGAACCTTAGTTAAATTTTTGGTATCGAACTTTTAGCTTTAGTGGCCAGATCTTGTCTCTAAAACTTGTAACAAAGTTGTAAAGAAGAGAGGAGAGCAAAGAAGATATGTGGGTGAATCCTGTGAAAGAAATTGCAAAATAGTTGTTGTGTGTCATAAAAACTTCACTACCAAGAAAGCTGTCATTTCTTTTTCAGTCCAACCATTTGCTTTAGCTTCGAATTGGAAACGATAAGTTTTCCATGCTATTTAACCATCGAATATGGGTAGTTTTAAAATTTTGCTTATATTAATTTTGCCTGTTTAAACTGTGAAAGATTATGGACACTGTTTGGCCAAGTCTCAGCATTAGTTACTAAAACAATACTGTTCTCAAGTTATTTTCTTATGGCATCTTAATGAAATTTACTCTTTTTGTTGGAAATAGGCTACAAATTTAGCGATTGATGCAAAAAATTTAATGACACAATATTCCAATGAAATTGGTCTGTATAAGTCTAAGAAATGTCAAGGTTTATTAGGTTTAGGAAAAAATATTATTAAATATTTTAACCATACGCATTATAAGTCCCAGGTATTCTAGTTTGAGATATTTTTGGTTATGACCAGTTCGTTCTCCTCACCAATTCTATGTAGAACTTCTTCAGTGGTAACTTTGTCTCTCCAGGAAATCCTAAACATACGTCTCTAGCATCACATTTTATTTCAAATACTTCGAGTTTCTTCAATGATGTATTAGTAAAGGTCCATGACTAAACTTCATATAGAAGAACGAAGAATACGTCGGATTTTATTAAACGAATTTTTATTTTCTATTTTATATAGCGACTCAACGAATTTTTTCATTTTAACGAAAGCTGATCTTGCTCTCTCGATCTTTATCTTAATTTTCGTCGGTTGTTTACAATGTTCGTTTAAATTTACACTTAAAGAGCAAAAGTTGGTGATTTGTGATAGCGGTCGTTGGTTAACTAATTATTGACCCGTTGTGATTCCATTTTTAATTATTATCATGTATCTTGTTATTTTTTTATGCCAAAATCAAGTCCAAATCTTCTCATACTTCTGCTACCTAGGAGACAAACGTCTGTAGATCTTTCAGACTCTTTTTGACTGCAAAAATGACAGTGCCATCAGCGTATCTTATGATGTTTAGTTCTTCTCCACTTATAAGTATCTGCTCCTCTATAGCAGTTAGCGCTAGGTTTATAATGTGCTCTGAATATAGATTAAATCTTGAATATTAATTGGGACAGTATACCGTAACATTTGAAGCACCTAGGTTTACTGTGAGGTTGTCTACCAACATGTCCGTAACTATAGTAAATATAACTTAAAATTAATTTTTGTAAAAATATTTCTACCCCTAATAAATACTTTATTAATTACCACATATTTGGGTAAATTCTATGCCTTAAAATCACAACACTTTTGGTTAAAACATAAACCGCAGTGTACTTATAACCTTAGTAAGAAAAAACGAAAATTGTAGATCGGTCGTTTTTTTAGTCTTTTGACTTAAACTACTCGTAAATTTACGATGATAATCACATGATTTAATTTAATTTGATAGCTCATCGACTTAAATATCTTTATAAATATCTCTCAAAATCGCTTGACGAAATCATAAATAATTTATGGTATTATAAGCCTCAAGTTTATGTTCAGGAAAACTTTTATGTATTCTGACCTAATATAAAATTAGCACACATTGATTCTACAAAAACTTCTTCTTCTCGATTGTTTCGTGTAAAACCAATTCTCTTTATTTTATTGTCTAGTTCCGGCCAATTTTTAATATATTAGGTACCAACCTTAATCGCATTTAATCTTGAATTATTTTTATTTTCAATGATGATCTCAAAATGACCTCTGTCGGTTTGTAAATATTTATAGTTAATTCTAGTATTAATAAAGTTTAAACCGAAAGAGATTTTATTTGCCATCAAGAATTGTCATTTTAAGGTGAACTATACCTATTGGTTCTTTTGCCTAATTTTTTTTTTCTGAAACTTAAAAATTTCAGAAAAACTTTCCTATATTAAAAAGATTTATACTTACGTTTGGAATATTGTTATATATCGAATTTGTTTCAAATTCGTTGAATAAATCACTTCAATCACTGACTGAAAGTGTCTTACGCGGCTACAGACATAGCTACAAGCTTGTCCAGCTTGCTTGTTCAATATTTTTGTACTAGTATGCACAATTTGGTTGATGAAAAGAAAAATCTATTCTTACATTAGCTTACTAAGTGAGCTGCAACTATATCTGCGTGATTGGCACAATGATCTTAGAATGGATGAACAGACCTATTTAAACTTTTTATCTCTTGTATTACCTTTGATTCAAAAGCAGGATATGGTTATGAGACAAGCCATAACACCACATGAAAGATTAACGGCAACGTAAAGACCTGAAGTATTCAATTATTATTTCACCACAAGCATTAAGTTATATAGTTTCTGAAACCTGCCATGTCATTTACAAGGTGCTTCTTCTTAGGGTGTCTGTCCGTTCCGAACGTTGGCGTTCATTCTGGCTATGATGACTTTGTTGGTTGCTATACGAAATAGCTGTGTTGAGGACTTTCTATACCACGCTCTCAGGTTATTCATTCAGGATATTCTTCTTCGTCCTGGGACCCTTTTCCTTCAATTTTATCTTGTAAAATGCATTGAAGCAGCTCGTATCTGCCTTGATCTCTCATTATATGGCCCAAGTACTGCAGCTTACGGACCTTCACGATATTGACCAAATTCGCAGTTGTGTTCCTTCTCTGCAGTACTTCTTCATTGGTGACTTTGTCTGTGCATGGTATCTTCAAGATCCTTCTGTATGACAATAGCTTAAAAGCCTGAAGTTTTAATAGAGTTTCCGCCTTTAATGTCCACGTTTCTACTCCGTACAGAAGCACTGAGTACACATAACATTTAAGGAGTATTATTTTTGTTTCTAGGGTGAGGTCATGGCTCTTGAAAACAAAACTCATAGTCAAGAATGCACTCTTTGCCTTTCCGATGCGACATTTAATTTCTTGGGTATTGTCCCACGATTTATTGATTATAGTTACCAAGTAATTGTATTGTGAGACTCGTTCAATTCTCATTTAGTTCACATACAGATTTGCTCCAGTTATGTTTTCCTTGCTAATGATCATTAGCTTGGTTTTGCTGGTGTTTATATCCAGTCCATATTGTCTACTTGTTTCCGTCATTTTGTTCATTAAGTTTTACAGCCCTTCTATGGTATTGGAAAACACTATTGTATCATCTGCATACCGCAGGTTATTGAGCTTAACTCCATTTATTGAGATACCTTCATCAATATATTTTAGAGCCTTTTCAAAAATATACTCTCCGAGTACAGATTTAATATCAGTGGTAAAATTATGCACTCTTGTCTCACTCCCCTTAAGATTTTAACCTGATTTGTATATTCTCCATCTATTCTGAGTACCGTTGATTGATTTCAATACAGGTTAGCTATTATTTTTAAATCTTTTCCGTCAATTCCTATCCTTTTCAGCACTTCCATCATTTGTTCATGTCTGACTCTATCGAAAGCCTTCTTGTAGTCAATCAGGCATGCAAAAACATTACAGCTGACATCTCTACATTTCTGAAACAATATCTGCACGCTAAATAAAGCTTCTCTCATACCAACGGCGTTCACAAATCCAAATTAATTGGGCGCAATTTGATCCTCGCATTTCCGGTAAATTCTTTTGTGGATGACCTTTAAAAACAGCTTCAGCAGATGATTCATTAGGCATATAGTTTTATAATCTTCACAAACTTTTGCTCCTGGTTTTTTGGGCAATGGTACGAACTCCGATTTGAGCCACTCTACTGGTATTTTTCCTGCATTGTATATTTCATTAAATATTTAAGTTCTTATTTTTATTTATTTTTCTTCTAATAGCTTCAGGAATCATGTAGAACTAACAGTTCTACAGGAATTTCATCGAGTCCTGGTGCCTTTCCATCCTTCATTTTTCTGACGGCTGCCGTTAGTTCTTCTAGTAGGATTTCGGGACCTGAATTTTCTTCAATGGTGGGCTCCTTGTATTGTTCTAGGGTCATGAAAAAGCTTCTTCAAGTATTATTCCCATACTTTCTTTTTATCTTCCCTGGTCATGGCAAGATTGTTTTCATCATCTGTTATTTTTCCGCTGTTGCGTTTTCGGAACTTTCCAGCTATTTCCTTCACCTTTCGATGAACATTGAAGTTATCATATCGACTCTGATACTCTT